AAAAAAAAAAAAAAAAAAAAAAAAAAAAAAAAAAAAAAAAGCAAAACAAAAACAGACATTAAAATGGAAAGTACCACAAATTATTTAATTTCATATCACAGTATTTACTATTTTTTAAGAGGGGTTGTTATATTACATATTGCTATTGTCAACAAACTTGTTCAGATTATCAGATGTAAGAATGCAAGATTGATCAAAGAGAATAAAAAGTAATAAAAAATTAGAAGTAATACATACCTTCGCTAAACAAGATGGTAGGAATTTGACATTGGTTCTCATATTGCATATTGTTGTCTTTAAATCAGTTATTTAAAGTACTAGGGGCTGGGGATTTAGCTCAGCGGCAAAGCGCCTGCCTAGCAAGCGCAAGGTCATAAGTTCGGTTCCCGGTACTGGAGAAAAACAAAAAAATAAAAAAATTTTAAAAAATAAAGTACCAGATATACGCATGCAGAATTAGTCAAAAAAAATTAAGCATTAACTGTTCCTTTCAATAACACAATAGATGTCAGCAGTACAATTATCCTAGCTATCCTTGTATGTACATACAAGGATATATATTTATATATATATATTTTCTCCCTTTCCTTCTCTCTTTTTTCTTTTTCTTTATCCCAGTTCCTTCCTTTTAAACAATTTCTTTCCCTTTCACAATATCTCTTCTACCTTTTACAAGTTTAGCTTCTGTTATTTCTTTGCTGGTTTTTTTTTTTTTTGTCTAAGTGATCTATCTCTTTGTGACAATGGTGTGTTAATGTCCTCTATTATGATTGTATTACTGCTTATTTGATCTTTTATGTCTGTTAAAATTTGTCTTATATAGTGACCTTCTTTATCTCTTTTTGTCATTCTTGGTTTGAAGTTCACATTTTCTGCAAACAGAATAGCTTTCCCTGCTTTTTTCTGGATTCCTGTCACATGCAGTATTGTTTTCCATCCTTTGACTTTCAGTCTGTGAATTTCCTTTTGAGTTAAATGTGTTTCTTCTATACAGCATATTATTGGATCTTGTTTCTTGATCTACTCTGCCAGTCTGCTTCTTTTGATTGAATTGCGGCCGATTACATTAATAGTTATAACTGATATGTATTGGCTTCTCTTTGTCATGTTGTTTTCCTGCTGTTGGTTCCCTACTTTTTCTCTCTCTTTAACTGCTTGCTCTGCTTGGTGGATCCTTTGTATTGTTCTTGAAATTGTGGTTGTTTTTATCTCTTTCTAGAATATCTTTTAGTACTCTTTGTAGGGTTGGTTTGGTGCTCATGAGTTTCTTCAGTTCTTTGTCATGGAAATATTTTATATCTCCATTAATTTTGAAGGATAGTTTTGCGGGGTACATCAGTCTGGGTTGGAAGCAGTTTTCTTTCAGGACCTGAAATCCTTCACTCCAGGCTCTTCTTAACTTCATGGTTTGTGTTGAAAAATTTGCCATGATTCTGATGAGCTTTCTTTTATAGGTGATCTGTTTCTTTTCTCTAACATCTTTTAAATATGCTGTTCTGTTGCTGAATTTATGGGATCTTGATCACTATATGTCTCCGTATACGTTTATTTTGGTTATGGCTAATTGGAGTTCTATATGCCTCAATTAAGTGTATGTCCAATTCTTATTCCATGCTTGGGACATTTTCTGCTATTACTTCTGCAAATAGTCTTTTTATGTCCTTTGTGTTGACTTCTGCTGTTTTATTGCATTGTTTTTCTTTGCATCATCGTATAGCTGTTGAATTGTTATTTCCCGGTTCCTTGTTATTTAAAGAGATCTTTCCTTTTGCGATCATTAGCTGCAATGCTGTCTTCAGGCTCTGAAAGTCAATCTTCAGCTTTGTTGAAGCAGTTTTGCCAGCTTTCAATGGAATTTTTAATTTCCTGGATATCTCTTTGAGTGTGTTTTGTGCATTCTAATTCTTTCCTATATTGTTCATTCAAGGTTTCCATCATTTTCCTATGGTGGTCTGTTTTTTTTTTTCTACTTCTTCTTTAGAGTTCTTAGCAATTCTTTCATTATTATTGTCATTTCTTTTTTTACCTGAGAGATTATTTCCAATCTGATGTTTTCTATAGCCTGATGGATTTGTTTCTTTACTTCAGTTGCTATCATTTCAGAAATTTCAGGTGTGTGACTTCTAAGCTGTTCTATGTGGATGTCTCATGGACTTGTTCTGGGTGGGGTGGAAGTCTGAGATTGTATTTTGCTCTTTTGTTTTGTCATTTTTGATGACTCCATGTATTCCTGGGGCTCACCATGTATTCCTGGGGCTCACCATGGCTCCCACGATGGTGTTGGGGATGGGGTGCAATCACTGAGGCTCCCAAAGCTGTCCAGGGCTCAGCGTGGTTCCTGCAAAGCTGTGGGGTGGCAGGACATGGTTACCAAGGCTTTCAAAGCTGTCCAGAGCTCAGTGTGGCTTCCACGATGGTGTGTGTGGGGAGAGGACACAGTATTTACTATTGTTTAACATTGGTGATTTCTAAAGTAATGGTGCTTTCAAAACAACAAATAAGTGCTGAAAATTTGACTGGACTAAATATAGAAAATGAATAAAATTTTTTTGGACTTTTTAAAAATTAGTCTCTGCATCTATAGAAAATAAAATGTTTTGTGCCTAATACATACTTTCGTTACACAGATTGTACTCTCATTGTGTATTTTTTTAATAAATTGAATGGGTATACATTTATTTAGAAGAAAATGTAGCCACTTGAACTTGATTGCTTCTAATCATATAGCAAATAGTATATACAGTACTTATCACTTATTGATAAATGCTATCTTGTGAAAAGAACTATCAAGCAAAAATTTACTAAGATGTCTATAAATGAGCGCTAGCATCTGTAAATTTAAAGTGAACAAATTAGATTTTCTAATGTTTTAATATATGTATACTTAGTATATGTTCTACAATATAGTTAAAATTGATCTTTCATGGTACCAAATTAGTAATTCTGAAGGCAATTATAGTATATGTCTTTATACTGGGGAAACCCCTATCCCTGAGGTTTCATGGCAAATCATCATGGCAAATCCCTCTCATAGGAATTAAAGGAATATAAGGATATTTTTCTACATGGTATTTCATATTTCAGAGTCAGAAACCTTGCCCTGAAAGTGATTGAAACAATAGTATTTGATTTTGTGATTTATTACCTTAAATGATTTTTTTCCTTTTCTAATTAAAACCACTGTCATAATAAATTATCTGAAGCAAAATTTAACTATTGAGATTATATAACCACATCTGAATTGGCTTCTGTCCTCTGAAAATAGTAAAGGGTAACTCTATTATATGTATTTGCTAATTATAGAATCAAATTTTGATGTTTTTCAGATTTAATGTACAAGCATTGCTTAGTTTTTTGAGCCAGATTATGAAAGCATTTATTTACTTACTTATTTGTAATGCTAGGAGTGGGATTCAAGACCTTTCACATGCTAATAAGCAAGCACTTTACACCCCCTGGTTCATTTTATTTTGAGACAGAATGTCACTAAATTGCCTAAACTGGGCTTAAAATTGTGACCCTGCTGCCTCTGCCTCCTGGATACCTCATACTACAGGTGTGTGCCACCAAACTCAGCTAACAAAGCACCTTTGATAGGTTTTTTTTTTTTAGGAAATGAAATTGTTTTTAATTAAATAATTCACTATAACAAATGACTGAAAGTTGTGTTCAATATCTTTAGATACCTCCTACTTAGGAGTTGAGGATTAAATTAATACATATATTAAATATTTGTCTTTAGAGTTATGATCTTTTACTTATCAGAGCAAAATCATTTAATTATATATTATTTTAGCTTGTAAATACACCTATCATTTCTTATTATTTTGTTACTTGTCGTATTATTCAGATTGTTAAATTATTCCTTTTTTCTTTGCCTTAATAACTTACTTCTTCCCACCTTAAATGTGCATTAGGAGGGAAATAAAGAATATTTAAAGTGGATTATTTTGCTTCTTGTTGGTAAATCTAGTTAACAACAGATGATGTTAAAATCATTCCCCAATTGTAACATAGGAATTACTTAAAAATTTTATTAGTTCCTCCTCTACAAGATAGCCACTAAAATAGATGGATAGGTTGTAGATATGCTTTTTTATGTACATTTGAAAACATAAATTTTATCAACCAGTTGTCTTAGTGTCTCTAGTTTAGCTAGAATTAAACTCATATGCTGAAAAATAAAATTACTCCAAAACCCCAAAAACCTATTGCTAATTTTAAAAAACTTTTTACAGAAAAAAAAGAAAAATCAAACAAACCTAAAGATCCACCTCCTTTTGAAGGAACTGAGGTAAGACTCTGAATTCTGATCTAATAAGTGACTCATTTGTAAGCTATTGCCTTTTGTCATCAATAATGCATATACATTAATTGGATGTGGAATTTAAAAATGATTGAATTTAGATTTGCCTGAAAAAGGTAGATGATAAGTATTTAATTGATAATGACAAAAATTATTGCTTGTGTTTAAAATAAATGGTAAAAATGTTTTAATATTTTTATTGCAGTATGTTTTGAAATATTGTTTACTTATTGTAATAGATACAAATTAGCTTGTATTACATTTAAAATAGCCTATACTGACGGACAAATTTTAGAGTTTATATACATTCCATTTTGTCATAGTACCTGAAAACCTAAAATCTCCATCTACAAAAAGATCGCTACTGTCAGTTCTTTGGAAATTTGCTTATTGTTATATAGAGGAGTATATTGATCACAACATACTATTCCTTTGACAGTGAATCTGTGTACTATTATTAAGTACTTCCTCCCTCTCTGTTTCAGATTGATGAAGTTGCCAACATTAATGACATGGATGAATACCTTGAGTTACTGTATGAAGATATTCCTGACAAGGTTCGGGGTTCTGCTCTGATCCTACAGCTTGCTCGAAATCCTGATAACTTGGAAGAACTACTATTGAATGGTGATTTATGTCTATAAATATTACAAATAGAAAAATTATTGTGAAGTTTGGATTCATAACTCTGTGAAGTTTGGATTCATAACTTATTATGGATATGCATGCACACTTTTCATATCTTAAATATTTATATTTTACATACTAACCCTTTTTTATTTTGTTTCTCATGCCTTTTCATGGATTATCTTTTTCCATCTTTTTACTTTCACCTTAATTATTTCTTTGAATATAAAATGTTTCTATTGTAGGTAACATATGGTTGGATCATATTGCTTTTTAAATCCAGTATTACCCATTATAATGTTTAGCCTACTTAGCATTAATGTAATTACTTGCAAGGTAGAATTTGCATCTAGCATTTTATACTTGCTTTCTCTGTAGCTTTTACATTTTTGTTCTTATATTCCTCCACTATTGTTTTTATTTGTGTTATTTTCTCATTTACTATTTTAATCCCCTTGTTCTATAACTATATTTTCTTGAGTTACTGTATTTTCTGACTGATTTCCTTGAATTATAACTAACAATTTTAAGCGCACTTGTTCACATTAATCCAGCTTTATTTTAACAGTCTATAAAGTTTACTCCAGAATACCTGTTTGCTCATTACTCTTTTGTATTGCTACAGCTACACAGACTTACTTACTGTACTTATATAGTATAAGCCCATCAATACAAGTATATGACTATCACCACATGTATTTTTACAAGTCAAATAGAAGAGTACCATCAGAAATATGATTATATTATCTTTTTGTGTTTATCCTTTTAATTTCTTTATGTGTATGTAAATTATTATCTAGTGTCTTTATATTGATTTTTTTTAGTTTATATCTACTGTTGAGACCTTTTAATGAGTTTTGTATGACAGTTGTTTTTTAAGTACAGAATTTCTATTTAGCTCTTTTATAGTTTTCACCTCTTTGGCAAAGCATCACTTTCATATATTTGCATACTTTCCTTTAATTTTTTAGACATGGTTTCTTTCAGTTATTTAAAATATAACTCACTTAAAATCTTTATTTCACCAGTTCAAAGTCTGTACTTTCTCATGGACAGTTTCTATTGACTAATTTATTTTGTGAGTATGGACCATGCTGTTCTGTTTCTTTGCAGGCCTCGTTGTTGAAATAGTATCATGTGGCAACTCTGCAAATCAGATTCTCTCTCAGGGGCTTGTTATTGATGATATTTGTTTACCGAATTTCGTAGGTTAATTGTGTAAATTCTGTGGTCTTCATCTGTATGGCCACTGAAATCTCTTAAGTCTTTATAGAAATTCAGTTCACATAGGTTTGAAGAAGTTTATTTTGAACATTTTTACCAGTTTTCTCATTTGCTTATGGAGGAATGGATTTTTGGAGGTCTTTAATCTTCCTAGAATTCATTTTTTTTTTTAAGTGGAGGAGTAGAGTTTGAAGTTTATTTTTTTCCAAGTTGAACAGCATTTATCCCAATCCTTCATACTCGATCCTTTCCCAAGTTTAAAAGTGCCTTTTTTATACTATGTGTACCATTCTTTTATGGAACAAGCGCTTCTTGAAAACTTACTCTTTGCCAGGTACTATTCCCATAGATTCATGGATCTCTTTATGCTCTTTCTCTGTTTCTTTAGTCTGATATCTCCCAAGCCCATAGAATGGTGTTCATTCTTTTATTTTGCATTTTGACTAGAATTGTAGGATATGTAAGAAAAATGCTCCTATCTTTCCTTCTTTTTTCTTTAAAGTTTGTTTTGCTGGTCCTGTACATTTGTTTTATATATCAGTATGAGATAAATTTAGCATATTTTGTGGAAACTTTATTGTGATTGCATTCACTCTATAGACCAATGTGTGATGGTTTTCAACATTTTATAAACTTTATTTATTTTTTATTTTTTTTATTTTTTGATTTTTCTCTGGTACCGGGAACTGAACTCACAACCTTGCGCTTGCCAGGCAGGCGCTTTTGCCACTGAGCTAAATCCCCAGCCCCTAACATTTTATAAACTTTATATTTTCTTTTGGCTATTTCTTGATAACCTTTGTGCAAGTCTTATCGCTATATTTTTATTCAGACACTTTTCTGTTATATACTAAATGAAAATGAAATGAAATTGGTGACAAAACCCAAGCCTACATTCATGACATTGTAGAAGAGTATTTCTATAATGTATTAAAAAGTACTATTTTGTCTAGGTTATAATGGTCGAAAGCCTTTTGGGACTTACTTAATTGAACAATGTTAAATCAGGTTCATATTAAGTAGGACCTTATGGAGCTTTCGTGTGTTAACAATGAACACTGACTATTCATCTAACCTCACAATAATTCTGTTCAAAGCATATACTATAGGCTCTACATTGTGAATGTTCATAATACTGTGAAATACTGTTGCAGGGTATTTTTTATTTTGCTAAAATCCACTAAGTGGATTAATAACTGATAGTTTATTCTAATCTAGCCATAATGCTTAAATAAACTGGATATTTTATAACCACAATAGAGAATAATAATACAGTTTATTAAATGCAGTTGACTCTAGGTACTTAGAGACAGTTGAAATAATTTCTGTATTTAATATACACATATATTATTTCAGTAGTTTTAAGAATTCATAAGCTATGGGACAACTCTAATTTAAAATTAATCTTATTACTTTATATTTACTTAATATACAATAACAGTTAGTAATTAATTGTTTTTACCTTGCTGTATGTATAAACCTAACAGTAAAGCTTATTAACATGCCTGGGAGATAATCTTTGGAAGATCTTTTGTTTTACTTATGTCTGTTGGTCTGTGATACTGAAATATTTTTGTGTGTAAATTTTATTTGGTCAACTTATTTTAGTGGAACAGATATAAGTCTTCTAAACAAAAAATTCTTTTCTAGATGTATTGTAATTTTTTATACATTAAATCAGATGTTAAAAAAAGAAAAAAATTGTAATTATAGTAATAAAATTCCAAGTAGAAATGCAAGTCAAGAAAAGAGTGGCCTTTTTATTATTTGTGTTATCATCCATAATATAAGTATTATGTTACTTTACTAAATTATATTTGTTTACAATTTAGACATGTTTTAAGTAAAAGTTATATTTTAGTTTTGAAAACAGCTTTCTGTATTGGAAAGAATCATCCTACTTTTTTGTCCTAGTTCCATCTTAGCTTTGTTATTTATTAATAAGTAGACATTCAAAACCAGTCTCCCTTTATACCAGAGTCAAGGCAAATGATCATTTCTTATGTTGTCTTTTTCTGTAGAAACTGCTCTTGGTGCACTAGCAAGAGTCCTGAGAGAAGACTGGAAGCAAAGTGTTGAGTTAGCTACAAACATAATTTACATCTTTTTTTGCTTTTCCAGGCAAGTATAAAAATTATAAAATAAAATCAGTCCATTTGTTCCTGTCAGTCTATAGATTAGTGGTTCAGTCTTCTGTATGTTTGCTTATGCTCTGCATCTGAACTCTTTAGTTTTGTTTGATTCCCATTCTTTGTCGTGCTTTCAGTTACTCTTTCATTGTCTCCACTCACCCCTACATATGCACGCATGCACAATGGGTTAGTATAGTGGCTTAGCGTTTAGCAATATGGGCTGTAGAAGTAGACTGTCTTGATTTGAATGCAAGCCCTGCTGTTTAACTGTGTGATCTTGGGTTACTTAACTTTTCTGTGCCTCATTTTGTTCTTGTGTAGAATTTGGATAGTGAGAGTGACACAGTCTTCAGAGTGAAAGATTGAATGCTCAATAGTTTTAGATTAAGTAATTAAGAACTAAAATACTTGTAATAAAGCCTAACCCAGAGTAAATGCTAATTGTTACTGTACATATTGTTGTACGTACACTTATATGTACAAATACAAGTATATACACATTGAGCATCATACTGTTTATACGTGTATTTTTTTATTTTCAATTTTATTTTTTTCTGTTCTTTTTGTTCTGTTGGTTTGTTTGTGACACGGTCTCGCTATATAGTCCAGGCTGGCCTTGAACTTACTATGTAGCCCAAGCTGGCTTCAAACTCATGGTGATCCTCCTGCCTCAGCATCCTGAGTGTTGAAATTCCAGGTCAATTTTATTTTTTAATTTCAATTTTACTCTGTATATTTAAGGGATATAGTACAATAATTCATTACTACGTGTATACAATGTGTAATGATCAGTCAGGATAATTAGCATTTTTATCACCTTAAACATTTATTATTTCTTTATATTGAGAAACTTTGAATTTCTCTCCTAGTTCTTTATATAGTATATTCTAAATTATGATAAACCGTAGCCATCCTGTTATGCTGTAGAACATTAGAAATTATTATTCCTGTGTACATATATTCTGGTACCTATTATTCAACCTTGTACTATCTCTGTCATCTTTCCCTTCAAGTCTTCCCAGCCTCTAGTGACCATTTTTTTACTCTCTACTTCTATAAAACCAACTTTCTTAGCTTCTACCTATAAGAAAGAACTTGTGGTACCTGTCTTTATACTAACTTAAGCCTAGCTCATTTCAGTTAACTTTATGTTCCACCCATGTTCCCACTAATGATGGGAAAAATTATTTTAATATGGCTTAATAATATTCTATTTATAGTAATATTCTATTTATGTAAGTAGAATATACTATTCAAGTAGAATATTCTATTTACTTGAGTAGAATATTCTATTCTATTTAAAAAGATATTTATTGAGACACTGAAAATTTGCTAATTCCTAGAGATTTTCTTCTGTGTAGTTTCTAAAAATATACTGGCATTAGCAAATAAATACTTATGACTTGTCTAGGAAACATTGATAAAACCTGATTATTTTACTCTTTTATGCTGTTATCAACTTTGTAGAATAAATAAGATACATGTCTAATATAGTTAATTATTTTATTAAATAATAGTCTGAAAATTCTCAGAAAGTTTTGCGTGTTTAATTTGGTTGTTAATTTTTAAATGTGTTTCATTTTCAATTTCTTAAAAATAATTGTATTTATTTTATTTATTTGTTTTTGGTAATGGGAATTAAACTCATGACCTTGTCCTTGCTAGGCAGGGGCTGTGCTGCTGAGCTACATCCCTGGCCCAAAATAATTGTATTTAAACTGGGCATGGTGGTGCAGTCCAGTGATCCTATGCAGGAGGCTGAGGCAGACGGAATATGAGTTCAAGGCCAACCTGGGCTATAGAGTGAGATGCTATCTCAAAAATATGTTTAAAGTAATCTAAAGATTTCAAATTTTCTGAGTATACTGTAGATATATTCACTTATTGAAATGGTATGTCAAATTTATTTCCTATGTTGTTTGTACCATTATCTGCCAAAATCAAATTTCCTATATGTTCAAAATGTATTCCTTTAAATAAATATTAAAACCTCTTCTTTAAAGCTTTTCTCAGTTTCATGGAGTAATCACTCACTATAAAATTGGAGCTCTGTGTATGAATATCATTGATCATGAGCTAAAAAGACACGAGCTTTGGCAAGAAGAACTTTCTAAGAAGAAGAAGGCTGATATCCTTTTAGAGTGCAGTTTTGACCTGATCTTACCTCTTGCTATAAGTTTTGGATGGGAAGGATTTTTTTTAATATTACTAATTGTATTACCATGCAAGATTATACTGAAGGTTAAGATGAACGATTGAAAGTATGAGAATAGAGTTTTAACAGTAACTTTTGTCTCTCTCCAACTTTGATTACTCAGTGAGGTAGAAGGGAGATCTATTGGTTAGTGGAAGTATGGCTCACCATTGTTGTTTATGCCCTTGTCCCTCAGTATTAAGGTGAATTTGATGGGAATGGAGGTAAATTTTGTGATGAAGCTAGTTTAAAGTTTGGGTCTTTTATTATTTATTTAGTGAAGTGTAAAAATACTCATCTTAATAAATACAGCTGTACCTCAGTTTATGAACTTGATTCTTTCTGTGATTCTGGTCACAAACCAAGTTGGATAAGGACTGAACCATAGTCAGTGGTTAAGTTCAGTGGTGACTTTATAGGGAAATTTCATGTGGTTTTCGTCCAGTTCAGTTTGCAACTAGAACTGTGGAGAAGATTGAGTTTGTGAACTGAGGCACAAGTGTTTAGTTTTGAGAGTGCTATAGAATGATGGAACCTGTGAAAGGAATTTTAGAAATAATGTTTAGTCTATCTTGCAATGTAAATGTATTCTCTCTGACAGAGTTGTATAGTCCGTTCTTTAACAATGTTGGTGTATTGGTTTAATTCCTCCTGTTTTTCAAACTGTGTTATAATATTTTTTGCTTAGTCAACCAATAACTTATATTCCTTGGTTGTAGTCTTATATACAGAAGTAATATAGAACAAAGATATTCTTTCCAACATTACAATTTTCCTAGTGATTTGAAGATATTCCTCATATTGCCTATTGTAATATACTTCTAGGTCAAAAGTCCTGTCTGAGTTCATATCTGTTGAAGTATGACATGTTTTACAGATCAACAAGCCATGATAATAAAATTCTTTTGAACTCAGGGTTTACTGATACCTTTCGACAAATGAAAACATTATTCCTGTTGGGCACAGTATCATACATTTCTAAACACTCCTTTGTAAAACAATAAAAAAAGTGGACCTTATTCTTTGGAATATTTTTCTCATGGTATATCTAATCTGAAGAGTGCTAAAAAGCTTTAGATTTAATCTGCATCCTTTAAATATGCTGGGCATCTCTCTGAAGTGGAGTCTATTGTGCTTAGTAAGTAAATCACTCCCTATAAGGCAGTACTCTTTGCATGGACTCACTTGATAATCTGTTGAAAGTTGTATTCTTGGCAGTTTAAATGAAATATTTTCATATAGTTTCTTGGCTATTAGGAATTTAAATATTCGGTGAAGTTCAAATATTTCCTCACCCAAGGATTAGGAATCTAAAGAAATTCTTGAACCTTTGGCTAAAATGTCCTTCAGAGAACATTTTATTGACCCATTGTTAGAGAAAGTAACTAGATAAAATTGCTTTTAACATTTAGTAGTGTTGTTCTTCATAATATTTTCAGCAAGGTTCTTTTTGTTTCAGTTAGAATGTATGGTCCTTAACTTAAGTTTTTACTCGATGAAGACCTTGAAAACCAAACCGTGAAAAAGGATTATGAGAAAGCTTTTAAAAAGTACCAGGGACTTGTGGTAAAACAAGAACAGCTATTGAGAGGTATGAATTCCTAAGCAGTGAGAAAAGCAGCAAAGTATTTACTATAATACATTTGTTTTGTCATACAAGTGAGCTAATATCAGAATAATGGAAAGTTGTATAAATTTTAATATGTTGAGTCCTTCTATCCATAATAATTTTAAACTTTTCTTTCTACTGTATTTCTCCATTTAACCCTTACATGTATTTTAATTTGGTGTATGACCTTTTCTTTTCTTATTTTTGGTGCTAGAAATCAAACTCAGGACCTTGTATTTGCCATACAGGTGCTGTGCCACGGAGCTATATCTCTGGCCAACCTTTTCAAAAAGAAGCTTTATTTCTAAAACTACATTTGATAAAGTGAATTATTTTACTGCTTCTCTAGGAAGTTGACAGAAGAGTTTTCAAAATAATCTTGTAATATAAAGTAATTTCTTGTTTCTAAGCTTTATTTTTTTCTTTTTGGTTTTTTTCCGGTGCCAGGAATTGAACTCACGACCTTGCGCTTGCCAGGCAGGCGCTGTGCTGCTGAGCTAAATCCCCATCTAAGCTTTCTTGAGGAATATAAGACTTTATTAGCAAGGTTTTACAATCACATACAAAATTTTATGATGGCCAGAGAGAATGATGTTTATCTTTTCATTGTTATATCTTCAACTCCTCGCTTGTATTTGGATATGGATTTTTAGTTTAGCTCACTGGTCATTTCATTAATTTTGTACATGGAAGTATTTGCTAACTTTCAGAATTCTTTTAGACTCTGTTTTAGCACTTTGAGCACTTTTAATTTCATAGTTTTCATATATATTTCTTGAATAAGTTAGATCACCTATTGTTGAACATGCCAGATTTTCAAACTCAATTTTGTTATTCATACATATTTGTGATGCATAGTGAACACATTCATTGTTCAGATAGTTGATACATGTACAACACATACTAATTCTTTTTAATTCCCTCTCTGCAATATCTTAGTCTCCTTCCCATTTCCAAAAGATCTATCTTCCTATTTCCTATTTTATATTTTTTATTTTGCTCTTTGATGTTTTTTAATTGCCATTTAAGCTTGTATGTTTGTTTTATTTCGCCTAGTGTTGTCTTGAGGTGGTCTTGAGGTGCCATTTTCCTACAAATGATTCAAGTTTATCCTTCTTTATACCATAGTAGTGCTCCATTGTATAAATACCACATTTTCTTTATCCATTTATCTGTTGGTAGGCATATAGTCCACTTTGAAGCTTTAGTATGAGTTATGATGCTATAAACATAGGTAAGCATGTATCAGTGTAATTATGATGTAGTAATGCTTTCAGGAGGGCACTGAGAAGGAGAAGAGCTAGGTTGAATGGAATTTCTAGTGTTAGTTCTTTGAGAAATCTCCATACTGTCTTCCATACTGGTTTTACTAGTTTACATTCCTGCCAACAATGAAAAGGGTACCTTTTCCCTGCAGTACCTAAGGTTTGTTGTTTGATTTCTTCATAGCTATTCTTTTTGGATTAGTTGGAATCTCAGTGTTGTTTTGTATTGCTTATTACCCACTTGTTCTTCTTCTGAGAAGTGTCCGTTCATTTCAGTTCCCCTTTTAGTGGGATGTCTTTTATTTTGGAGGTCTAATTATTTTATTTGTTTTATATTCGACATATTAATCCTCTGTCCAATGTGTAACTGGCAAGATTTTTTTTTTCATGTTTCTGTTTTAATATTTAGATCTTTGATCCATTTTGACTTTAATTTAGTGCATGGTGAAAGACATGGGTCTAGGTTTAGTCTTCGGAATGTGGAAAGCCAGTTCTTCCAGCACCATTTATTAAATAGGCAATCTTCCTTCCACTGAACATGTTTGGCCCCTTTGTCGAAGATAAGGTGACTGAGTATATTTGTAGTTGTATCTGTATCTTCTAATCTGTTCCATTGATCTGCAGTTCTGTTTTTGTGCAGTACCATGCTGATTTTATCACAGTAGCTTTGTAATATAATTTTAAGTCAGGAATTGTGATGCCTCTTGCCTTTGCTTTGTTTCCTAAGATTTCTTTTGCTATTCTAGACCTCTTCTGGTTCCAGATGAACTTTAGGAGTGTTTTCTGTAGATCTATGAGGTATACTAATGGTATTTTGTTTGGGATTGCATTGAATCTATACAACAATTTTGGGAGTATGGCCATTATCACAATGTTGGTTCTTCCTATCCATGAGCAAGGAGTATCTTTCCATTTTCTGATATCCTCTTTGACCTCTTTTTTCAGAGTACTATAATTTTCTCTGTATAGAACTTTTACTTCTTTTGTTAGATTAATTCCTAAGTATCTCATCTTTTTAGATGCTATTGTGGGAGGTGTGGTTTCCATAATTTCTCCTTCAGTCTGTTTGTTCCTTGTGTACAGGAATGCTATTGACTTTTGAGTGTTAACTTTGTATCCAGCTATGCGACTGAATTTGGTTATTAAATCCATGAGCCTTTTGGTGGAGTTTTTGGGGTCTTCTATGTAGAGTATCATGTCATCTGTGCATAATAACATTTTCACTTCTTCCTTTCCTATCCTTATTCCTTTTATTTCTCGCTCTTGTCTAATTGCTCTAGCCAGTATTTCCAGAACTATATTGAATAGGAGTGGTGACAGTGGACATCCCTGTCTTGTTCCTGATTTTAAAGTGAAAGCTTTCAATTTTTGACCATTTAGTATGATGTTAGCTGTTGGTTTATCATAGATGGATGGCTTTGATCAGCATGACATAAAGGCCATCTGTTCCTATTTTCTGCAGGGTTTTCAACATGAATGAGTTGGACTTTCTTGAAGGCTTTTTCTGCATCGATGGAGATGATCATGTGATTTTTGTCCTTGGCTCTATTGACATGGTATATTACATTGATTGTTTTGCATATATTGAACCATCCCTATATTCCTGGTATTAATCCCACTTGGTCGTGGTATATAATCTTCTTGATGACTTGTTGTACTCTGTTTGGTAGTATTTTATTGAGAATTTTTGCATCTATATTGATTAGGGAGATTGGTCTGTAGTTCTCTGTCTTGGTTGGGTCTTTCTCTTTTTTTTGGTATCAGAATAATACTTGCCTCCAGGAATGAGCTGGGGAGAATTCCTTCCCTTTCACTTTCATTAAAGAGTTTGAGAATTGGTGTTGAATCTTCCCTAAATTGCTTGTAGAATTCACCTGTGAATCCATCAGGACCCAGGCTTTTCTTCATTGGCAAGTTTTTAATTACATTCTCAGTTTCACTGGCTGATACTGAGTTATTCAGGATTTTTATATCTTCTTCATTCAGTTTGGTCATTCATATGTATTTAGAAATCTGTCCATTTCCTCTGTGTTTTCCATCCTATGAGAGTAAAGATTTTCAAAGTAGGTATTGATGATCTTCTGAATTTCTTCAGGATCTCTAGTGATTTCACACCTTTCATTCCTTACTGTGTGTACTTCAGTTTTTTCTTTCCTTTTTTGATAAGGTTGGCTAGGGGTTTATCTATTTTATTTATTCTTTCAAAGAACCAACTCTTCGTTTCATTAATGTTTTGTTAGTCTCCATTGCATTAATTTCTGCTCTGAGCTTTATAATTTCCTGCCTTCTTTGGGCTCTGGATTTGATTTGCTCTTCTTTTGCTAGGAACTTGAGGTGCAGCGTAAGATTATTTATTTGTGCTTGTTCTGTTTTCCTAAGGTGGGAGTTCACCGCTATAAATTTCCCTCTGAGAACTGCTTTCATTGCAACCCACAGGTTCCTGTAGGTTGTATCTTCATTTTCGTTTGATTGTAAATAGTGTTTAATCTCTACTTTGATTTCATCTGTGACCCATTGGTTGTTCAGGAGGATGTTATTTAATTTTCCACTGTTTATGGAGTTTTTGTGTTTTCTTTTGTCATTAATTTCCAATTTCATTGCACTATGTTCTGATAGTGTACATGGGATAATTTCAATTCCTTTGCATTTACTTAAACATGTTCTATGTACTAATATATGGTCTATTTTAGAGAACGTCCCATGTGCAGCTGTGAAGAATACATATTCTGATGCTGTTGGGTGGAACACTGTAAAGGTCTACTAAGTCCATATGTTCACACGTTAGGTTAAGTTCTATTATTTCTTTCCCAGTTTTTTGTCTAGTTGATCTATCTCTTTGTGACAATGGTGTGTTCAAGTCCCCAGTTATGACTGTGTTGCTACTTATATCATTTTTCATGTCTGTTAGAATTTGTCTTATATAGGTGAGTGCTCCTATATTTGGTGCGTAGATGGTTATGATTGTTATCTCTTCCTCTTGGCGCTTCCCCCTCACAAGTATGTAGTGACCTTCTTTGTCTCTTTTGATTGTTCTTGGTTTGAAGTTCACGTTTTCTGCAAACAGAATAGCTACACCCGCTTTTTTCTAGGTTCCTGTGGCATCAAGCATTGTTTTCCATCCTTTAATTTTCAGTTTTGAAATTCCTTTCTTGTATACAGCATATAGTCGGGTTTTGTTTCCTAATCCACCCTGCAAGTCTGCTTCTTTTGGTTGGTGCATTGAGGCCATTTACATTGATGGTTATAATGGATATGTACTGGCTTATTTTTGTCATGCTATTTTCCTGCTGTTGCATCCTCCTTTTTCCGTCTGTTTAATTGCTTGTTCTGCCTGTTGTTTCCTTTCTGTTGTTGTTCTTGAAGTTGTGGTCTGTTTTATCTCTTTCTAGTATATCTTCTAGTAGTTTTTGTAGGATTGGTTTAGTGCTCATGAATTTCTTCAGCTGTTCTTTATCATGAAATATTTATTTCTCTATTAAATTTGAAAGATAGCTTTGCAGGGTACATCAATCTGGGTTGGAAGTTGTTTTCTTTCAGTACCTGAAATACTTCACTCTAAACTCTTTTTGCCTTGATGATTTGTGTTGAGAAGTCTGCCATGATTCTGATAGGCTTTCCTTTATAGGTGATCTGTTTCTTTTCTCTAACAGCTTTTAATATTCTGAGCTTTTGATGAGTTTCTGGGATCTTGATCAGTGTATGTCTGGGTGTAGATTT